AAATCAATCACTTTCCTAAAGATTTCTTATCATTTGAATGTTGTGCGATAAATTTTATAAAAAGTTTTCAAACATTATATTATTTAAAAGACTGGACATGAATACTACAATTTTCAAATTTTAAGTTAACCATTTTGTAATATTTTCATCAATATATGATATAAAATATTTGCATTGTTAAAAATATCCTTTAAATAATTTTCACTTCATTTAACTTTTTCTGAGCTTTAATTAAAATATTTCTCGCCTTATTACATTTTTCATTTAAACCTTTTAATTTTTTTATTCTATGATTTTAATCCTAAAAAACTAATGCAAATTGCAAATTATGAACAATTTAGAGTGATTGGATGTATGAACAATGCAATGGAACTGTATTTCGAAAATTGCTAAGAGAGAACTGTAAGTGTTTGACTATAATTTCTGATGCAAATTAAACTCATGCGGATGGGTAATTTAATAGGAACTTAAAATGAAGGGTAGCAATGCAACGATGTGTTTACAAAACAAATACATTTCAGGAGCGAATGGATAATAACAGGATGAAATGCAAACGGTGGATTTAAGAAACATTTAATTGATGATAAATCTTAGAATTGGTTGTGTTAAATAAATAAAAGCATTATGAAAATCTGCAAAGAAAAGCGAATTATGCACTTTTTTGAATTAAAAAATTTTAATTTTGTGGTTTACAAAAAATAAAAATTATAATAAAAGAAAATCAAGTAAAATTTTTAAAAATAATTTCATAGTTTACAAAAAAAGAATAAAAAATTATAACATAACTTAAACAATTAATTTGATATCAAACACAATGATTAATAACTTTGGTAAAAAAGCGTTTTTTTAACTAAATTTTTTATTTGTTTCACTTGTCACATAAAATAATTATGCTATTAAAGTTGTTTTTCTCATTTTCTAGTGTCAGAAGATGTAAAATATTTAGAATTTTTCAAAATTATATACATAATTGATTATTTTTTAAAAATTATTTGGAATTTGACGACGAGAGCAATATATGAAGTTCTCGATATTCATAGGCTTGTATAAATGACATTATTAGTTTTAAAAATGATAGCCATATTTTTTAGGTGCGATAACATATACTATTTTGCAAGTACAATTTCAAATTATTAAAAATCAAGATATCCAGAATTTAACATTAATTTATATTTTTATCATTTCATTAACAATTCGCATACCGTAAAAAGAACTGAAGTACAAGGAGTAATTAATATTCGGGTGTTGCGAACATTAATTAATTCTTCTATTTCATTCCTCCTTGTTTAGAATCCATGTTACTCGTAGAATGCATTCATCCGTATTATCAAATTGTAACACCACCTGTCAAATATCTCCAGTTTTCCATACAAATGGCAGAATAACTTTGTCATATCAGTTTAATTACTTGGTCAGAATGATATCGTTTGTTTTTTTATATAATCTGCATACATTTGAATTCGTAAATAAAGTTTAGATTTATGATCTGTGATGAATGTACATTATCAAAGTAATGATAAACATCTTAGGAATTGAGCATCGATTCACATGATTGAATTCAGAAATTTTGAATTATTAATTTTACTATATGATTCAGAAAATCAATGGTTTTTTATCCTGGCTATGATATAATAAAACTATTAATTCGATCATACAACTATCATGTGAAGCATGACAAGGTTAATACATTAAAATTATAAATAGAATTTTCTTAGTTTGAAAACTTTTCAAATCTTATTATTCCACTTCTTATTTCCTGTTAATTAAATAGGAATTAATAACATTGCGATGATATGAAAAATGAAAATTTTTCGGCAAAATTACTTCCGATGTATTATTCAACTCCCAAATATGGAATATTTCAGGATATAAAAACAAGCATACTAATATACTAAATTACAATGCTACTTTTGTTTTTATTTAAATGGAAACTTTTTTTTTGCAGAAAGTTTTCTTTTTTTTTTTTTTGCAAACAGTCATTCTATTCGTGCAATCATCACTGAAATGATCACATTTAAAATCATTTATTTGTTCATCAGCAGTATTATTGCATCATCTCTTGTATTGCCCACGTAATTCAATCCATACATTTAAATATGTTAAATATGAGTTGTATAACTGATAAGGAAGAGCTAGGTCAAAGTTCACATTTAAAAGTAAAACATGTCAACCTGTCCCAATAACACATGCCACGATCATGTTTGAGTGGACAATGGCGGAACCGATGCCGAATGTTTTTGATCATTGCGCGTCCCCTTACCTACCGTAACCGATGTGATGTGTTGCAGCTTTGTTGCCTAAAAGTAGTGAAATGTCAGACTGAAATTAGGTGATTAAATGTGCGTGTCAGTTTGGATGTGTTTCCGTATGTCTCTGTGTCCGTGTGTCTGCGTGTTCGTGCGTCCGTATGCCTGTGCGCGCATACGTACGTGAATGTGTATTAAATATATGTGTAATATGTATGGGTATATATTTATTACAATATCAACTACTTGTCTTTCTAATAACGTTGATTTACCTGGTCACTTAGCACATACATTGACCGTGCCGTCTTTTATAGTTAGAATTATAGGGTTACTCCGTACATTTCTCCCTAATCTCACGTCGACTTTCCGTTCTGGCTGGTATAGATGAAATGACTTCTGGATTCGTCTCCTGAAAACTCTTCACTAACATAGCAAAATCGGAGAAGCATTTTCTTTTTATTTAGTGGAAATATTTTCATCGAATTATCTTTGTTACGAAATAGAAGGCTGACTGATTTACATAGTTAGGCAGTGTGTAGCATGAATCTTTAAATAGCTTCCTGAATTTGGACATTAATTTTGAAATTTTTTTGTTCAATTTTCTTCACACAGGCAAGTATGTAATCCTTAGGTAACTATTAGACAGTTACGTATATAATCCGTAAGGAACTGTTGGACAGATATCACTTCGGATATTCTGGAACTGGCTAAAGTTTGTTAGCCATATCGGTTGCATTTGTCCCTATGTATAATAATTTGATTCTGTTAATATCTTAATTGAATGTTTTAGGTCGCGTTTATTTGCCTTAATGGACTCGGAAAACGTGCGATTAGCAGATTCATCCACTAAGGTCTGATATTTCTCCCGAATTTATTTATGAGACAAGCTAGTGGTCTTAGCATTTCAGAAGTGTTTTACACTAAGCTACAAATATTTGCTCACTTACAAAGTTAATTCTAAGAATTAACTTATGAACATTTTACTATGGAATGTGAAAAATACTCACAGGTTTCTCTTTTTACTAATGTTCGTTCATGAAATAATCGAAATGAATAGAGTCGAATCGGAATCGGTGGCATGATTCAAACAAAACGGTTTTTTATATAGAAAACCTCAGGAAGAACGAGCGTTGGACTGCAGAAAAGACCGTCATGTTTTCTTTCTCATCCTTTGCTTTCCTCTTTTCCTCCTTTTGTCATGTTTAATTTCCATACCAACTTGGTGTAGCTCGATTTATAAATTTCAGAAAAACGAAAAAGCGGCACCTGCAGGCACAAGTGCTCCATCAAAAATGCGCATTTTAAATTCAAAACGATCGGGCCGAGTTCGAATCGTGAGTAAGTGACCGTTTGGCTCTGAGACATCTTTTCATTCTATTTTTTGGAGTTATTTTTAATAATTCAGTTGTGTACATCCGAGCAAAAGTGGCTTTGTAGATTTTATTCAAAAATACTTGCCCTGATAATTAACTTGTGAGTAATTTCAGTGAGCTACTTCATATTGCAGATGAACTAAAACCTTTTCTTCCGTTATTACCTGATGTTGCTGATATGGAAATAAAAGAACAAAAGCAGCTTTTTCAACAGCTCTATTCTGCTGGAATAGCTGCCTCGGCCTCGCTACATAAGGTTATTTTAAAAGGATTTCAGTAAATCTCTTTTCAAAATTGCTGATTTGTTTTTGAACATGATATACGTATTAAATAATATCCGAGAGAATGAAAGTGATTTTCGGCACATTTCTTCAAATATAATATCACATCCGGAAACAGTGACATGTAAACCGAAGATAGAGGGAGGGGGAGGGGAAAGGTAAGCTAGACTTATAATAGTTTATTCTAGATTGCAGTATACGGAGATCGTCATATGGTTAATCTAGTTAGTCAGTAAACACTTTCATTTGGATCGATTTTGTTGCCGATGCTAACGTAGCACACAGAATTAGTTTTTTATATATTTGTAATTTAATCTTGAAATAAAAACAATCTGATGATCTCTGTTTTTTTTTCTAGTGGTTAACAATGAGTGCTGCGCAACAATTTCCCCGATTTTGTGCCAAATTTGGTGCTACCGCTTGTGTTGGTGGAATAAAAGATGATTTGTGTATTGATAATGCACAAGTTGAGAAACCTTATGATATTACAGCGACCCTTCAAAATACGCAATTATCTCCGAGTCAGCAAATTCCATTCACCTCTGAAGATGCCGAGGTTTTAATTTATTACTCTTATTTTATTACTCTTGAAAAAGAGGAACATAACTTAAAATATTCAGTCATAGTGGAGAATTGATTAGATCAAAATAAAATATAATAGCATAATAGTGTAATCAGTCTTCTTACTTCCTCATTTCTCTTCTTCTTCTTTCTCTTTCTCTCTTTTTTTCACGTAATTTTCAGGCATTGAAAACCCTTTCTCGTTCGGGCATATTGGATGATGCTGTCGAATCGTTGCGACAGTTTCCGTCATTGGAAGAGGACTTACTTGGTGTGAAAGATGATTTAGCAGCTGCGAGTCTTATAACGCCTGATGTTCGTTTTCTTAATAATCTTTCTTTTGAAATATTTTAAACTTTTTCTCTTTGATATTCTGAAACAGTGCATGAATCATTTCAGTGGATGACAGACTTTCAATAAAAGAAATACGATGATATAAATGAGAACCTTCATTTCGATAGTGGTGAAACAAATAGAATTTATTTGCATATGTAGTTGAGAACCATAAATTTTAGATAGCGGCTGCTGCTTTATCTGCCTTTGCTGCCGCTATCTTACGGCGGCCTCCTACACGAACAATAGAAAGTTTAATGGCAAGTTCGCAGGATCCTGTAACTACAAATGGAGGCCCCGATTCTACGGATGATGAATCGTTGGAGCTGAACCTCAGCGAGGATGAATCGGAAGACAATGGTGACATGTTATTAAACCTCGCTGTTTCTGCTGGGGTAAAGATTCTTGTCACTTAATTAAAAGGAAAATCGCGATACCTACATCAAAACATTCGCTTTAGTTGGGTTACACACATGATTATTGCTAGTCTGACAAAAAAAAGTTTATGGATTTCTTAATAAACCGATCTGGATCTCATTTTTGGTTCTCATATTCGTAGTATTTCTTTTACTTTTTATAATGGTAATATTTGGATATTGCATATCAAGTTATTTCTTTTTTTGCAGTACTTAGATCTGACTAAGGGACTGGTTGAAATTCGAGGAAACCCGAATTATGTTAGTACAAATAATGATCGCACACCTTTGATGGAAGCTTGTTGTGCAGGTATATTATCTTCATTGCTTGTCTGTCGAATGAGGTATCTGGACAGGAATCACGCTTTACAGTGGTCGTAGAGTGAGATATATTATGTAATTTACTGTGTTCGAGATATGTTGTGTATATGGCTGTGGTATTGGGTGGTAGTAAGAATTGCAGAAATGATCAGTTTAGTTAATTTTACATTCCAGGACATAGTGATATCGTTAAACATTTGCTGGAGCATGGTGCTGACATGAATGCTATGAGTGCAACCAAGAACACTCCATTGATTTACGCATCAGCTGCTGGTAACGTAGAGGTAACGATTCTTTTAATAAAAAAAAAGCAGTTTAGCTTTAACATCAGTGGCTTTACGGATATTGCTGTGATGATTTGTTATATATACAGGTGTTATGTATCTTCTAATATATATTATACTCTTTTTTCATTTTAGTGTGCGAGCTTATTATTGGATTATGGATGTGATATCACAATACGAAATGATAATGGACATTGCGCGCTCATGGAAGCAGCCAGTTCTGGTAAAAAAATTTCTTAATTTCTCAGCTCTTTATCATTGACACTCACAATCATTTGATGAGCGGATAGATTGAAATAAATGCAAATAAAAGTCTTGAATTTTGAAAAGCTTCATTTCTATAACTATTATGTATTTAATTTACTGTCAAAAATACACTTTACTGGATTTTTCTGATATCCGTGGTAATTTTACTTGAAAATTTTCGGAAGCGTGGGAATGTAAGAAATTTTTAAGGTTATCTGGAAGTTGTTTCCCTTCTTGTTCAACGTGGATTTCAAGTATTACCATGTAATCAAAGTGACTTGAAAGTTGGATTGGTAAGTGCAATATGAAACTTCTAAAATGAAACAGTTGTTAAAGTTTGAAAAATATTTAATAAGAAAACAATTCGAAAAGATATGGTTAGTGTGAATCTGTGGTACGACGTTTGTGTTGGATTGCTTAAGTACACGTTTTTGCTGCGATATGTAATCCCATCAGTTCATTTCGCCTCTTTTTCCTTGCATCACTTGTGAATTGTGTTAGGATGTTTCAAGATGTGATAGATTTACTTTTAATGATTTAACATGTGCTGACAAAGCTGTTGTCATGGTGTTTTATTTACATGATATGCATTTCAGGAATCAGCTTTGACTTTAGCAGCTTACAAAGGTCATTATGATGTAGTTAAGTATTTGCTAGAACAAGGGGCCGACAAATATAAGGAAGAATTACACACTGCTCTTATGGAAGCATCAATGGATGGACACTATGAAGTGGCAAAATTGCTGTTAGATAATGGTGCTCCAGTAAATTTAGCATCAGATTCCTTTGAGAGCCCATTAACTTTAGCTGCTTGCGGCGGACATCCTGATTTGGTTAGTTATTTCTTGACATACTGCATCCAGAATTTTTTATGATGCAAGTATGGATAAATATTACTTATATGTAACTTGTATTTAAGGCTTTCTAATTTTTGCTAATTGGGAAAGTTTAGTACCGGATTGCAGTTGACTTCATTTTTGATGATCAGCACAAGAATTCAGTTCGTCTGATCATACATTTCTAGGTGCGGCTGCTGCTGGAAAGAGGTGCTATCGTGGAAGAAGTAAATGATGAGGGTTATACGCCTTTGATGGAAGCAAGTCGAGAAGGACATTTAGTATGTTTTACTGTATATTTCATACAGTCCATTCTTTCTGGCATAACGGTATCATGAACGGTTTTCATTTTTAGGAGGTTGTTAGATTGTTGATTAAATTCGGTGCAAAAGTCAATACACAAACTGATGAAACTGGCGAGACTGCGTTAACACTGGCAGCTTGTGGTGGCTTCAAGTAATTACTTTTTAACTTTTTCTAAGAAGCAAATTTTCGGATGTGCTTTCGCTCTTTGAAATTTCGTGGAACACGGATATCTGTTAATGAAAAACTTAGGCTTTTAGAGAATTATATAGGCTTAAATCTTTATGATGTGCTTAAGGCATAAGGTTACACTGTTCTCAAATGTAGGAAAAATATTTAACATATTTTGGATGAAAAAATCTCAAACGATCTCGTTTATCGCACTAATTTAGTGTCAACAAATAGATGTACTGCTTTTCAGGGATGTTGTAGAATTGTTGGTGCGAAGTGATGCGCGTCTCGATACCGGTGCAAATACACCCTTAATGGAAGCTGCTCAAGAAGGACATCTGGACACCGTTAGATTCATCCTTAATGAAATGCGTTCACTTGGTTTGCCAGTAAGGATTTTTTTCTTGTTCAGAAACCATTTACTTGAAATTTATGAAAAGTTTAAGGTTGGGAGGAAAGTTTATATATGTACTAAGTCGGTTCAAAAGTTCAATTAAGATCGATGCTACAACGACAGCAAATAGCAATACGGCGTTAACCTATGCTGCAGAAAATGGTCATTTGGATGTGTGTGCTGTGTTAATCGAATTTGGTGCTAATATTGCAAGTTTTTTTCTCAATTTCCTGCTGCTTCACCGCATTTTATCATGATTTTTTTAAGCAATGATTGAGCACAAAAGCTTGTTGCAGTCGTATTTTTTTTTTTGTTTTAAAACTTTCAAGATTCTACTATTTTTATTTAGGATCATCAAGCAGAAAATGGACGTACGGCCTTAATGAAAGCAGCGAAAAATGGAAATTATAGTGTGATTCAATTTCTCCTAATGAGAGGAGCTAAGGTTATGTGCTCACCACAACTCTAAATAATACTAAATTTTTGTAAGTATGGATGACTTAGAAAAAGCTATTTATAGGTATCTATTACTCTGTGGTTGTTTTAATTCCAAATTTTTGAAGAGTTAGTACTCTAGAATTATTTTAGTCATACAAAAATATGCACTTTCATCTATATATAACAATGCAGAATTTTGAATAAGGATACATATCATTACAGGTAAACGAAGTTTCCACAGACAATGATGCCAGTGCGTTATTCCTAGCATGTGCTCATGGCCATTGGGAAATTGTTCGATTACTGCTGGATCATGGAGCTGATCCATCTCATGTGTTTAAAGTTGGTCTAAGATCTAAATTTTGAAAGTAAGGAGACTTGGTAAGATGTTCTGTTTATAAAGTCATCATAACTTATTGAATGATTGCGTAATCGTTTATTTTAAAGGATGGTATGACTTGTATGATCGAAGCATCGCGGAATGGACACACACGCGTAGCAGAAACACTTTTGAATTGGCATGATGCACCTATTGTAACGCGCACACCTCTTTTGGGGAAACCACCAGCATTACAGAACAGCCGTTTGAAAAAGGTATTTATTTGAAGCAAGCAAATGTAAAAGCTGGAAAAAATAAACGATATTGATTTGTTTTTTCATTTTTATATGTATGTAAATTTTTTAGCGGTTCGTTGAATTTGTATCTTTTCAATTTCAGCTTTTTGGTTTTATTGTTTTTATTGTGGTCTCAATACTTCGTGCAGATTTTCATATTGTAATAATCTGTACCGATTCTAATTGTTGCTCATCGAGAAGTTTGAGGTTGCGCGACGAACAGTGAACAAAAAGGCGACCGCAATCATGCAGCCAAAAATTGAATGTGCTGAAAAATCAATGAATAACGTGACAGTCGACGTAGGTGAAAAGATGGGATGCATAGATGGAACTACAATGTCAGCATCAACAACGGCAGTTACAATGGCAGGAATGCATTCGCAATGTACGCATGATTCTCAAGTCATATCAGGAATGCATAATCTATCAACAAATGCAAACGTACCAGCTCATTTGCTTGCGCATTATAATTATCAAAATGCGATAAATCCGGATGAATTACGGGGTATGATTGCGGGAATGGCTGCTATGGCTGCACAGTCTAATGCGGTTTGTTTATGTATTTTTCTATAAATTATGCACAGATAAGGTTGACAAAAGTATAGTTTACTAGAATATAAAACACTTACTAACAATTGAACCAATATATAATTCCACCACTGAATCAATATGTATCATTTATGCTGCACGAAAACATGAACAATTCTGATAATAGGAAACTTTCTTTTTAGTTATGCGTTGTTTCTGAAATTCACAATAATCTGAGCATTATTATCATGTTTAAATTCAAATTTTTTTCTGAATTATACTATATTTTTTTCATTATGCTTACGTTCCTTAACAGTGTCTGCTCATTTTTATTGATTGCTGTGATACGTGTGGTTGTTTTTCTTTCAGCTGCCTAATGATCATTTATTCGCGCAAATAGCAGAAAAAGCATTGCGTGGTACATTTGCAAACAGTGAAATTGCTAGCGGCTTAGCGGATAAGAAGATGCATCAGCAGTTCAGTGAATTACTGAAGCAGCAATTTAGCATATTAGCAAATCGACAGAAAGATGCATTGGCTGGTTTAGGAGATGTAAACTCTCTACCAGATTCTGAAAACGGTCTATTTCATTATTTAAATCCCGATTATTAAGATTGAAAATAAGTCCATGTTTCATCTTAGCCTGGCTAGCAGATGGATGAAAAGAAATGATTATGTCTGCTTGGCATACAAAGCTTTATTAAATGGAATATTATCCATTGCGCTGAATCAGTCGGAAGTTCGACTCTTTTAATAAGATGATTGGTAGAAATTGAAGGGGCAGGAAATTATGGATTAGAACTTATTAAGAACGTGAATTTAGAATAAATTAAATGTCTTCTGATGAAGAAATATTTGTTACAGTCTGACTCTACTATGATTTGAGAAGAAAAAAAAAATAGCAACTACATTTTAATTTCAATTTTGCATTTTAATTTTTTTTGGCCAGCATTTTAATTTTTATGATTCCTTTTGTGTTGCAAGTTTGAATTTACGGAAAATTCAAACTTTTATTATAATTTTCATTTCAAACTTTTATTATAATTCAAGCTCAAACGGAAAATTCAAACTTTTATTATAATTTTTATTGGAGAATCGTTTAAATTTGCTTTTGTTCAATTTGAATTTCGATTCTGTACAGGTGGAAGTACATCATATAGTCCCTCTGTTACTTCATCTCCATCACCTCCAATGATTGTGTGCTGTGAAACAACTGCGGCACACGCAGCTGTGGTACATTCTCCCAATTCAGCTGCAGATATGAGGAGAAAGGACAGTGCGTCAAACGTAAGTTTTGCGATATTATCATTTTTTGCTTTTGTAAGAAGAGCGGACTTTATTATGATTATATCGAATATCAGGTTGGTGCAAAGTTACTAGTTTTCTAAGGAAATTTTAAATAAATAGGTCTAGACACATTCTTATTAATCAGTGGAAAGGCCGTAACAATCAACACATTCTTGTCTATAAGAAACACAGTTATTTATTTCTGTAACTTAGAAACTTGTACTTCGAGATTTGATGAATTTTTATATTTTCGCCGGAAAAAGCTGTCGAGATGCTTGAAGAAATGATGTTATGGTGGCGAAAGGTTAGATGAGTATGACGGATAAGTCGTAACCCAATTCTTTTACTTCTGAAGCATTGGTTATTTGGTGCCTGGTCCAGCATTCTCGTGATGAAGAAACCTTTCTGTTGATCTGTGCCGGCTAAAACCGTTGCAATTTGTCTCATCGATTTGCTGAGCATACGTCGCTGGTGTAATGGTTTTGCCGAGATTCAGAAAGCCGCTGCGGCAGAAAAACCCGAAACAATCACCATGACTTTTTTTGGCGCTAGTTCTGTTTGGAAAACAGTTTAGAGCTTATCATCCATCCAGTTATTGAGATGTTCTCGTCGGTTATTATATATAAGCTCTTTTTGTTGTACGCCACAATGCGATCGAGAAATGGTTCATTGTTGTTTCGTAAAATAACAGAATATGGCAATTTAAAATGACGGTTTTCTCGATTGTCAAAATCAGTTATGGCACTCACCCATTGAATTTCACTTTTCTAATTTGGTTGAAATGCTGAGCGACTAGAGTGGCTAACGATGAGTACTGGAAAACGTGTAGATGTAAGAAAATCAATTTCGATGATTGAATCGGACACGGTCATCTTCCGATGACCGGTCACTACGTACTTTATCTTCAAGATCGCTGTCTTTCTGGCAAAACATGGGTCATGATTTCGTTATCAGTCACTGAACTAAACGCTTTGCTGACGTTACGAGTTGCGTAGCTTCCTTACTGCCCACTTTGTTCTCACAAAAAAAATCGCTCATATTTGTTTCTTGCTGACATCACTTTTTTTAATCAGAAATTAATTTGGAGTAACTAGCGAGTTATAAATCATTAGCAAGGAACATAAAGCGAAAAATAGTTATTAAAATGATTATAATAAATGTATTTCGATATGGGATAACGAGTTCAACCACATTGAAAATGCACTTTTGTACTAATCTAATATATCGTATGCGCATCATGCCTAGCTCACTGGTCGCTGCTTACAGGAAAGACAAAAAATCACCGGAGGACGTGGAACACTGCAGAAGAAAGGTGGTAAAAGCACTGTGTTATCAGATAGTGAACAAAGAGGTTCATTTCCACCAACATCTCTCAGATTCCCAGCACCACCACCACCAGTCATGAATGCAAATCTTTCGCGTGGTATATTCTGTTTTTATGTCAGTCATAGACTTTGAATAGCGAACAAGAGACTGGGAACTAGGATTATAGGGCATTTTAAAATTCAAAATTTGACGATACCTTAATGAATAGATGAAGAGAAAGGTTGATACCATGAACTGTAAAAAGATTTAGTAGATCTGGATGATTTTGGCGCTGAGAGGAGGGGAAATAAGTGGGCATATTTAACAAAGATCATCGCAATCTAACTTTTGCCGGTGGATTGTCTCTTTGAAATTACTTATCTAGTGGTGTTGCATGCACACGCGAAACAATGTTGTTTTATTTATGACTTATCTTTTAGGCATGAAAATATATTGGTTTAATCATTCATAAGAGAATTTTTTGTAATGTCTAAATACTTCAAAATTATTAGTAGTGAAGAATAATGGCTTGAGAATAGTTCCAGAAAACAACATATTAAAGATCCTGCCTTACTAAAAATTCATGCACTGGCTAGTTATTACTGATCAAGCTTTCGCATTATATTATTGTAAGCATAAATTTTCTTTTATAGAATCATTTACAGAAGGAGTACCGTTGTCACCACCGAAAGTGCAGCATTCATTGAGACAGCAGTCACCACCATTGCATAAACAAAAAGTCATATCAGAATCAACAGTTGGGCGACAACGCTCGAAGCCCGTTCTTGAAGCAGCTGGTGATGAGTCATTAGTCGACAGAAATGCATCACGGAAGTATAACTTTTCAATTTTTTAATATCTTACTGTTGAATTTGTATCAGTAGGAACTTTAATTTATAAAGGGATTTTGTTTTTAGTAGAGGTAGAACATTAAGTGAGAGCGCAATGCATGTTGGTGATGGACAACAACATACAGGTGAAAGAACATATGATACAGAAAGTGATGAAGAAATTAGTGGCAGAAATGATCCTAAAAATGGAGGCAAGTTTTTTTTTCTTTTATAATTGGGTCAAACTAGAATAAATTCGTGGTTGATTCTACAACTTTCCTCTTTATGGTTCGGTGTCAATCGAAACCGTCGGAGAAGTTACAGTCATCTTTCTTATGAGAGAAAATAACGATACGTACAATGGATAATACAATTTAGCGTAATAACTTCCATGTTTTATGTCACATTATTGTGTCATTTCAGGTTCTCTGCCGTTTAATGTAGATATGCAGACTGAATCAAATCATGACACTGCTCTTACCCTAGCCGCCACAGGTGGGCATGACTCTCTCGTTGAACTCCTTATTTCTCGAGGTGCTAACATTGAGCATAAGGATAAAAAGGTTGGTTCAATTTTCTCACATTACATCTTTCTTAGTTATATTGGTGATGAAACCGACAAGGATTATTTGAATTAGCTAGAAGTGTTTAGCGACTATATTGAGGAACATATCTTAGCGATGCAGTTTACCTTTCAGTACACTGACTCTGGGAGGTACAAAACATAAACAATCTCTTTAACACTTGTCAGTACTGCTCGAAATAATTTTTTTGGGATACTTATAAACATCTGTTTAGATCTGATTTCAAGTATTCAAAAATGTTTCATTCGTAATTTTAAACAGTTTTCTTTTACAAAAGTTAAATTAGCGGCAGTTTTATAAGATATATGGTTAATTTTCAGGGTTTTACGCCAATTATATTAGCTGCAACAGGCGGTCATGCAAACGTTGTTGAACTACTACTAAATCATGGTGCTAACATTGAAGCGCAGTCTGATCGCACAAAGGATACGGCCTTATCTCTCGCCTGTTCTGGTGGACGGAAAGAGGTCTTCTTCACAGTCAAATTTTAGTTCCAATGCAGCTTCAATTTTACATCAAAATGGAATGAAATTTTAAATCGAAATTAATTGAGATGTGAAACTCTGAATGTTTGTTACTTAAACAGCTGATAATTCTGCTGCTTCCAGGTTGTTGAATTACTATTAAAACGTGGTGCTAACAAAGAACATCGTAATGTGAGCGACTACACACCACTTTCTTTGGCTGCCTCTGGAGGTTATGTTGATATCGTGAATTTACTTCTAAATAATGGTGCAGAAATTAATTCCCGTACTGGCTCAAAGGTTTGTGACAACATATTTTTTTTCAATAAATTGAAGAAATTTTTGGACTATCATTTTATTTGATCGTCTAAGAACAGGATTTTTGAACTTGTGGAATGTCAAATCTTAACTAGAAGGTGGGATATTATCTGCTTTTGCATTTAAACATTGTTAAATTTGCTTTTAAACATTGTTAAATTGCATTGTTATTGTTCTTGGCTGGTTCGAACGGTTGCATCTTTGGCGGGTTCACGTTGGATTTTTTAAATGAAATTATTAGATTTAGTAGAGTTATAGTTTGAAAAGATCTGGCTTATCTATAGAGTCAGTGAATTGCATTGGTTTCTTTTTTAATAGAAGCTGCCATGTTCATTGTGATGCTCATCGTTTAGAGTGTATAAAAACGGAAATTCCCAGTACAGTTGAATATGAATTACGGTGTACTGAATTAACAAATGAGTCGAACATAGCTGATCACAGAGTATATTTGCTTAAACAAATTGTGATCGACATCGGTGATGGAGGTATAATGAGTTGTTTCAGTTAGGCATATCACCACTTATGTTAGCGGCAATGAATGGGCACGCTGCAGCAACAAAAATATTACTTGAACGTGGTTCGGATATTAATTCGCATATTGAAACAAATCGCAATACTGCATTGACACTGGCATGCTTTCAAGGTCGTACCGATGTGGTACGATTATTGCTTGAATACAACGCCAATGTTGAGCATCGAGCTAAGGTTTGAACATTTTTATTTCTTCACTTTTTTCCTAAAATATAATTGAGGAAAACTGTGCGACGTAGCATATACATACTTCTTTGTCGCTTAATTTTGGATTCTTTTTACGATAAGTATCGCAGTACAAATAGTAAAGATTTGTTAGGATTAGGTATTATATGCCACAAAATTTAACCGGCTTAATGACTTACAATTTTTTCTCAGACTGGACTTACTCCATTAATGGAAGCAGCAAATGGAGGTTATGTGGATGTTGGAGAATTATTATTAACTGCTGGAGCAGATCCAAATACCTCACCAGTCCCTAGTAGTCGTGATACCGCACTGACCATTGCAGCTGACAAAGGACATCACAAATTTGTTGAAATGCTGATCCATGCACGCGCTTCGGTTAGTTGTTTTTTCAAAATAAAAAATATTCATTCATTGAATCCGGGATTTGGTGTAATATTTTGCAGAAACATGCATATCAGCATCGGTTATTCTTTCCAAAGTTTTTTTGTTGGCAACAGAGATTTTTGCAGATTGATGCCAGAAATAAGAAAGGCTGTACGGCTTTATGGTTAGCGTGTCATGGAGGTCATCTGGAAACTGTGCAAACACTAGTAAAGCATGAAGCGAGTGTTGATATACAAGATAATCGTCAAGTTTCACCACTAATCATTGCCTTCCGAAGAGGACATATAAAAGTAATTTTCACTTTACATTGACGGTACTGAACTGGGAAATTTGATGCTTAAAGTTTTGGAAGAGAGCAGGATGCATGAAATGAAAATGTAATTTAGCTTTTATGTTATGAATAAACTTTTTATCAGCTCTATGAAATGTTTTTGCCGTTCAGGTAGTAAAGTATATGGTACGACATGTGACGCAATTCCCAAATGATGCGGATTGCTATCGTTATATCTCCACGGTTAATGAGAAGGTCTATTTTTTCATGTTGATTATGATCTTATTCTTTACTACCATAAGTAAATGTTAATATTTGAGTGAGCAATAGATGCAGCATATAAATTCTACTGGTAATACTGTATTTGCTAGGTGGACAGGATCATAAAATGAGTTTGCCTACGGCCAAATATTCGTTTAGCATCCTTTTTATTAGGCTATTAATGTTTAAACTAGCATTCGCTACCCAAGGTAAGCTTCTAAAATATGTGTCAGGAGAGCGGCTTCCACATTGCAAATTGAAATGATGTTTTCATAAAAATTTTTGTTTGAGACATGGTAGTTACTTTTTGTAGGAGGTATAAGGAGTCAAACTTTTATCTCTTATCTTTCTTGGAACTATTAGACACTCGTAACTTCAGAATAATTGCACTGGTCCTTCCCGATGTTTGTAATAGTGGATAGTTTCAGGAATTACTTGCACGATGTCACCTTTGTATGGACATAATTGTTGCAGCGAAGGATCGGCAAGCTGCGGAAGCTAATCGTGCTGCAGAATCTCTTCTAGAAATTTTGGCGAGAGAGGTTGCTACATTTGTCATTAATTGAAATGATTAAGAGATTTAATGATATCTGAAGCAGTTTCAATCGGTGATTCTTATGATCTAGTTTTGCACTTTTCAGGAAGAGCAAGCTAAATCTAAGAAACTTTCGAAACAGCGACAAAATGAGAAGAAGAAAGCTAAGCGAAAAGCGAAGAAAAATCAGTAAGTCTCTTTCTTAAATTCGGAATACGGATATAAATTGCTGATTATTTTACTGCACATTTGTTATGTTGCTCTGTTATCATTTTTTAGAGCTGATGGAAATACTGAACGAAAAGATTCGGATCGTAAAGAAGATGCATCTACCAATAATGGCGAGGTATGGTAATCAAATGAATGTTTCCAATTTCATGTTAGTTGAAATTGATAAAAAGTGCAGATGATTTTGCGGTAACTGAAATTTGAAATACATCTTACAATCATTTTTAGGAATCAGCTGATGAAGAAAATGGCTCTGAAAAAGCAAATAGTGCTGTAGCGGTTGAAGAAAGTAATATTCGTGATTTGGAGCATGCGGTATCTATTTCTTAATAAATAAAAAATAATCAGACAGTTGAGGTCATTTTATGATACGCATATTCATATAAGTTTCTAGTTGCATGCCAGATATCGTTACATAGATGCAAACTCTCTGAAAAGAGGTCGCGGTATTGCTCATTATATAGGTGGTTCATTTCGCGGAATTAATCGTTTTAACTATTTTTATGTATCTGAACAATACATGGAAATATCTGGAATACAGCTTTTTGGGATTTGTTCTACTATTCATTCTAATAAACTGCGCTAATAGGATTTTTATATTTGTATATAATGATTCAGCTTTTTCAAATCGATCCACCACGTGTACCTGCATTGTTATTAGACGAACACAGTGTAGACGAACACGAAGCTGTATTGTTCCCTGAAAGTTCACTCACAAAGCGCACGGCGGTGACCGGTGTTTCTATTGCTGGAAAATCGTCACGACACAGAGTCCGCAAAGAAAGTGGTGTGCACTTTTGCCGCTGTAAACTTTTTTTTTTTTGAATTCTAGTTATTTATAACTTACAAATCTGTTGTAGGTAAGTCTGCTGCTCCTGTGAAATCGCCTCCACATAAAGCGGGTAGTGGAAATACTTCGGATACCGAATGGATGAAAGCAACATCGAGAAAGAGTGCGGTAGGATCGTATTAATATTTGCATTATGCACCAAGAATGCTTCTATATACATGTTTTGAAAATTATAAATTTCAAATTTATAATTATAATCTCAGAGCTCTGTAACTTGGAAGGCCGAAAATCCTTTGCAAATAAAACCAATTTTTAGATTGTAGGTAACAATACTTCCAGTTTTATCTACAGGAATTGTTAATATTGAATTTTTTTATTATTAGAATGATGATGTAATTTTATAAATGAACATAATGTTATGTCTTATTTGAATGAACAGGTCCATCTAACACATTTTTACTTTTATAAATTCATATAAGTATTTAATGTTGGGATTGTTTTCAGGGAAAAACAGTGATGTCAGGGAAAAGTGTTAGTTCTAGCAGCACCCCAAAGGAAGACAGTGGAAGTAATAGCAATAGTAGCAATGCGACATGGAGGAATGTCGACTCGGTAAAATATATATGATAAATTAGTATAGGAACGGGAATTTTTTGGAAAAGATTTGAAACGTTAAGAATCATGAGGTAAATTGTTTTAGAGCCGTCGACGTTCCGCTCGGTTGTGTGTATCGTCAAACTCAATAGCACGTGTTATTGGTCGCGCAGGAGGTAATATCAATGCAATTCGCGAAGCTACCGGAGCATACATTGAAGTTGAGAAACAAACCGGAAAGAAGGAACAGCATGATCGACAAATAACACTAAAGGGTACCGACGATGCGTTAAGGTATTTTATTCTGATTATCCATTTGTACAGTCATCATATTCTCGACAATGAATGACAATTTGACAATTTTCGTTTCACGTGAGGCCTACATTTCATTGCTTTGAGAGCTTTTTTGTTTATAAAGAAGTGGAATGGCAGAGATTCACCACTGCCAAGTCAGATTTAAGCAAGTCATATAAGTGTGATTTGTTTGTTCCTATTGAACTGAATGAAATTAATTTTATCGATATAGGTATTTATTTGCACAGGATCTGTTGTTTGAGCACACAAAGCATTTCTGAAGTTTTCTTCTGTCTATGCATTCTCAGCGTACATTAGATCTGGAACTAGAATGCATGACATTTTTAGTGAATGTAGCTGCTTCAGTTGTACTGAGGCATAGCATAAATCTATTATACAAATATTTAATCAACTTCAAAATAGCATTCATGAGTTAGAATGTGAGTAATATAAATGGCGAGTTGAGATCAGCGAGAGAACCAGCTGATATGATTGAGTTTAGCGTGCGGTTATTTATCGGCAGTATTAGTAGAAGCTGATATAAATGTAAATTCACTTTCGTACGACGAGTTTCAGGCAAGCCGTTGAAATGATACATGGTTTAATCGATGATAGTGAATGTAATGTAGAAGAAGTGATTCAGCGAGTGAGTAGTGCCTACAGTACCTCCATTTCTCAGAGTGAGGAAAATGCTAGTGGAAGTAATTCGGCGTTAACATTATCTAGCACTACACCTGCAACGACAGCATCACTTCCTCAAAAAAAGTCGCATGCCATCGGCACTGTAATATCACATGAACCGTTGGAGGTTTGCTATATTTTTAGATTTATTTGAGATGTACACTTATTTTTTTACAAAAATTTCTTTTTCTCCAGTTTATAAAGCTATTTTTTCTGCCTCATTTAGATGTCGCATACTGCAGCAACAGGCAAGAAAACTGTCCCATATACTGCTACCACGAATGTATGGGCACAGCGGGCTGCACAACGTCAAAATCAGAAAAGTAAGTAGCTCTGTTCCTTTCGAAGATTCCAACTTGACCATCGTGACTATCCTGAATGCTATGTATTTCAGTGGTTAGTGCAATTGGTTCAGAAAAGAAGCAAAAAATGTCATCTGGTGCTGTAGAACAGGAAAACCCAAATCCTGATCAGGTACCACAACTCAAAACACCTGGAACAGTGCTTCCTCCGCCGGAGGTGCCAGTCGTGGATATTGCTGCTCTCAAAATTGTGGTAAAAATTATTCGTAAAATCATTTTCCTAATTTGAGTTTAATATTTGTCATTTTTCGTTCGTTTTTAGGTTGTTCGCATTTCAGTTAGCTTATCCTTTAGGATGAAACGCAAAAACGTGGAGTGAAAGAATTTTGCCGAGCACCTGGGCACGCAAGACCAACTTCTGCATCTGCTTCAAGTCCTTCGGTCTCACCGATTGGTTCGTTACAGCGCTGATTTTTATCTTGCGATCAAGTCCCTCACTTCTGAGAATTAGATGACTATTGTAAAACAATAGTGGTAGAGGGAGGAATTAGAGATTAAGAACTTGCTTATGTTAACTGGAAGTGTTTGAGGTTGAACCAATCATAAGTTTGAAATTCTGATATAGTATTTATTAATGATAGAAAAGTATTTATTATTGGATAAAAATTCAGATAAGGGGCAAGGTATCGTAATTGAAAGTGGACCTTTGCGGTTTAAACTTTTCCTTGAAGGCTTGAAATCTCCGATTCATGTCGGATCTGGTAGTGCTATAGTCTCTTCTTCGATCGGTATGACCATACCAACTGATACAATGACTGATATAAAGCCTAGAATGGAATTATTTGAAGCGTTAGTTTTTGTTTTATTTTTTCGACTAGTGAAATCCATTTATATATAAAAAAGATGCCTAAGAGAGGCTTTTTTCTACGCTTTTTAAGATTATCCAAGATTTGAATTTTTTTGAAAAATTATTCACTAAGTGTTTTTTTTGATACTTATGAAATGGGACGTTTTTTTATTTTGCAGTGGACCGAAAATTGAATTTCCCCAAAATATTCCAACCACTGCTCCACTACCTTCTGCATCAGGTGATCTCTTACTGTTTCTCTTCTTTCACCCACGCATTTATCTTTGATCCGGGAAACTGGGATCTTTTCATCTTATCTGTAACTCGAATAAAATTAAAAACACGTCTGCTTATTGTTATTCAGAAATTTCCTTTAGAAAAGTGAAGACTCAGTACGACTTACGTGGTGTGTAATTTTCAATTAGTTGTATAATTTTTCTCAAAATTCTAAATAAATTCAGACATTGCTGAAAGGAAATTGCAACCACTTCTTGGTGCAACTAAATCGAATTTGGACGCAATGAAGCCGAGCTCTGTGGACCAGAAACTGTTTTCGGTAGAAAAGTTTGAAAATTTAACGTAATTTATATAAAATCAATCGAAAAGTTTGCGTTCTATTAAGCATTATTGAAAGATGGTTAGTAATCATATTAGAAGAATAACAATGCTTTTCTCCAATTTATGTGTGGAAAATTTTCAGCCATTGGATTCTGCTCGCCCAGGCATCATGTCGTCGTCGATTGCCAATATTTGGGATGATAATATTGTTGACGATAAACCTTGGACTGTTCCTACACCTACACCTTTAGTACCAGTGCAATTGGAAGAGTTTGCAAGAAACCTCAATGTCCAGCTACCGACTTCAACGAAACCTGCTAGAGATTACTCGAGTTCCTGTACTACGGTTGATCATGTGGTCGATTTGGCTAAAAATATCGCTAATTTACGGACATCCGTATGTTTTGAAAACAAAAAATACCTTGAAAAACATTTGACTTGTGCTAGTGATCTATTATGCAAAATCTTCGTAAAACCTTATGTTCGATAGCTTAAAACACGCATAAAAACATTCGTAATTAATATTGAATGTTAACAGGATGATAAGCCAGTCAGTACAAGTAACGAGGCTGCGGCACGACGCACTTTCTTGGGGGAGAATATACAGCCCTTCGATTTGAATGTTCCTTTTTCAAATCGTGACTCTGTTGATTGGGGTAATGTAGGACCTTTTCCAACAGATACATTTTCGCGTTGGAGAAATGCTCAGTTAGATTCAGCGCCAACTGCAGGATCTACTCAAGAAATCGACAGTTCTTCCTGGATAGATCAAGCAAGTTTTTTGGCTTTCAAGAAAAATCTCTCGATCACTCATTATAGTAATTAATATATCTTGGAAGAGAGAATTATTCTTTCATCTTTTTGGTAAATTCAAGGTAGCAGCCCGCCTAGCATCTACCCGTCAGGAACATCTACCGTTTCCACCGACAACTTCTTATGCAGTTCCGGGAAATTCAGCACATGGTACGAGTTCTTTCGGAACTGATGTAGCAAACGTCAATCTCAGTCACCAACAACAGTCGACGCAGGCGTGGAATCGCATACATTTTCAACAGGTCATTTTAACAGTATTCTGGCTTTTTTAGACAGTTGTAATAAACATTGTAATAAACGATCTAAAACCATAAGCATCAGTATATCAAACTATCTTACTAACTGTTATTTTTGTTGCCAGATTTTGAAAATGTATCCCAGAAGATAACATCCCAAAACTATTAGGAATCGAACGCAACTCCTTCCAAGTTATCCTTGTTGGTCCTTACAACTTAGTTTGGATCTCTCCACTGTACCACCTTTTTCACATTTTAAAGATAGGTGCATATCTTTGAAATGCAAAACTTTCTTTGTGTTTTTAATTTCCGATTGTTCTTTTCTGATTTTTTTGCTCTTACTCATTTCTTTCTAGGAGTCCATGCAATTGCAGTAATATATGTGCTCATCACTTCATATAATCCAAACAGACACATCTAATTCGGGTCCATGAATAAATTTTGCAGTTTTGCAGCATTTGTTTCATGTAATTCAAATTCACTAATTTTTAGGCTGCACAAGCCGCCAGTAATGAATATGAAAATTTGACGAATCTTCTTAGCTCATATCGACCAGCAGCAAGTTCGCAGCATCAACCAGTACCTTCGCAGCAGCATCATCAAGTACACCAGCCAATTGTGCCAATGGGAAATATTAATTACAGTGCTGCACCTTCAGCTGTTGGACCAACTAGTTTTCGGATACCTGCACCACGTTCCCAGATTACAAATACATCGGTTCCACCGCCACCTTTCTTTAATTCTCAAATCCCACCACCATCTTCTATGTCCCACCGTGGTGTGATTCCGGTTACGCAGTCTGCAACGTTAGTTTATTTCTGTTTCGTGTAGTGAGTTGTTGTTGGTGATTCTTAAGGAAGTTGAAAGTACTCCTTCCCGAATTGCAAAGATTATATGACTTATGAAAAAGCCCTTTTGTCAAAACTGATATTAACAGTCATATTATTTATTCAACTGGTTAAGCAGCTATCTGAACTTCGCTGACCAGAATTGCTACCTTCCTTTTTGTACTATACATTGCTCATCCTTTATATGAAAGTGATCAAGTGTGATTTTGGTATATGGATTCATTTTCATGCCAAACTCAAGTAGGTCTTTCATGCAATAGTTTTAAACTTAGGCCTGATATAGGCAATATTATATTTGCTTAGAGCAGGCAATATTATCTTATATTACCTTAAATAATTTTGCAGGAGTGCAGCGTGGCCATCAGTTCACTTTGCTGGGCAATCACAGACGAATACGATTGCTGAAAATACGCAATTTCCACAATACCCTAGCACTACACGTACAAATTGGAGTTACAATTGGTAAAAGCAGTGATTGATTTTAACCATCGCATTGTTACTATACTGGCAATTGCATTATTCAATGCTTATCCAGTTTTAAAATTATCTTTTGATGTTTATCACAATATCATTTTCTTTTTTCAATTAAAATAAATATTTTTAGTTTTTGATATTCTTATATGCACGTAACACTCATTTTCTCTTCCTTATTAAATTTAACTTTGCTAGTTAGTCACTTCCGCTCCGAATTTTTATTGATTTTTTGAATTTATAGCAGAGAGACATTGCTGCTTTTCTTAAACGGCGTATTTTTGGGTGTGAAACAATCTATCAAATTTTTTATATTTGTTAGTCCATATTACTTATTGTGTTCGTTAATGCTGCGCTTTACTTGGTATCCTTTTTTTTCGATCCATTAGATCTTCTGGAATTTTTATTAACATTTCTGGAAATTTCCGGTATGTTTTATTGACATTTCTAGAAAATATTAAAATTTTGCTCCATATTCTTATCACTATGTATTCTTTTACTTTTTTTACAAAGCCTTTCGTTATTTCCGCTGCTTCTGTTTTTTTTTTCCATTTCTCTCTGAATTATTCTACATTAAGCGGTGATATGATCAGTACCGTTTTTATACTGGATTATGAAAACTATTTAAAGTTTTCATTCTTCTGGTTTTTCAGATTCTTATCAACTTCCGATTTTTTAGTATGCCCTGATATAATGTCAATATATTTTGAAATGTATTTCAGGCCTTTTTACATTATGTTCTGTCATATTTTCCAAAAGTTTCGGTTTTCATTATAGCATGCTGTGCTGTTTAAATTTTTGTGTTTCTTAATTTTTCTGTGCTTCTAACCAAAATCTCATCAACATATGGAATAAGAGTTTAGATGACTTCGCTTTGTCATTCTTTTTCTGACTTTTTCTGACTGGTAAATTTCTGTTGAAGAAAAGGAAAGAGGTCAAGATTGCCAAGATCTGTGGTACGTGGCAGTAATCTTGTTATGCATAATTAGCTGGAAAACGATACGATAAATGTTGATCTTTCTGTTTTTGACTATTTATAGCATACTACATAACTTTTGCTGGTTATAACCGTTTTCATCTATTTGGAGTGTTGAATCTTTGAAATGCAAAAAATATCGTGCAAAACCTGCCCCACACTTTTACATGCCTGTGTTTATGTGTATTTCTTTTTCTTCCTCAATTCGATCTTGTCATCTTTAAATATATAAATTTTCAGTTATGGTTTGATTCCCTCATTTATCTATTTCAAACCGACTAGCTGTAAAAAAAAAAGATGGAAAAATCAGTGACGAAGTTGTGATGACCAGTTTACTTATTTAGTTCGATTTAATTGGTTAATTTGCCTTTAACCGTTGAATCATCGATAGTATATCGTTGCTGTTGGGACAGTAAGTTTAAAATCGAAAGAATGTGGAATTTAGAATATGGACAGGAATGCGGCATGCTACTTAACACCGTTCCAGGTTTTTGCTGGTTGGTTAAAGTTCTAAATACCGATTCTTAAAAAAATCGAACCATTGAGATTATAGGAGTTGTTTATTGAAAACGTGAAATGTTCATATTAGTTCAATTTACTGAAAGTTGCAGTAACCTTCGTTTGCTATTTTTTTTCTGCTGAAGGCAAAACTGCTTGTAAGATTGGATCGGGTCGGTTCCTTGTCGTGTGCTAGGTCCAGTTCGATGGGCGGAGCACTAATGCGGACGTAATATGTGTCATGAGTGACGGCTGCAATACGAATGAGATCTGAAAATAAATTTCAATACCTCGTGAGTCCAATCATTTTTGAGGTAGAAGTATGGTATACATTTCAGACTATAGTAAACCTGTGTAAAAAGGATTTTACCAGTTCGGTACAATTACCTAAGTTAGTAGAATCGTGTAAAAATATAAAAGAAGAGTCTGCAGGTGCGGTGTACATACGTGCTTACCAGCATGTCCCACGTATCCCTGCTCCAAAGTGAAACAGTTTGCCTCATGCAGTCATTAAATGTATCCCAATATCCTGGGTCAAATCCACGTCCCTGGAATGCTGTATGCCGTTCTCCAAATGCCTAAAGTGATAAATCGTAAAAAGTGGTAATTTCCTATGAAATTGATCATTAATAAAACTGATCACTCGATGAGACAATTTTGTCTTTTTTTCTCAAAGATAATATAATACCAAGTGGAGAAGTGTATGATTTGGCACTGGCTCCAACTGCTTCTTCTTTATCCAATTATTGTCACTACTTCTATTTGAGTTTACTTTTCGTAATTATTAAACATATTCAATATTTTGGATTCGAATTATATTCATATATTCTGATCTCACCCTAATTGATCTCAAAGATACATACTTTGAAATTTATTTAAATTTTTAAAATTTCATGTTATTTATAAATAAGGAATGGGATAGGAAAGGAAATGAATCAATCAATCATGCTAATCTGAAAATGTTGCTCTAATTTTTCCTTGATAGTTCGAATGATTTTGTAAAAGCAATAGGATGACGTCTGAAACGTGGATCATTTTTTCTGGAATTTTTTGCAAGCCAAATAAATGCTTCATTTCCGGTCGTGCAATTAGAATGCGACTAAATAATTGAATTCCAACTTGCTCTCTTGCATTGCTCTAAATTTTATTTATTTATTTTCAGCTGCTTTTTTTTCTTGATTCACAAATGAAAAAATTTGCAGATAGACTTAATCTTATCATCAAAATTTGCTCATCTCACTTGTTCTGTTCATCTTTGTTTCTCTTCTTTCTGTTAAAGAAATGTGAAAATGAAATTTAATTGAACTTATACGAATTCCTAATATTAAATATTTTTGAGTGCCTAAGAAAGTGAATTTTTTATGTTTACAACTACATAGCTTTCACTAACAATTTTATTTTAGCTCTGATATTAATAGAATTTTTTAAATATAAAATTATTAATAATGTATATTGAAGATTGGAAAATTATGCTAAATTTTTATGAGATGGAGTGAATTAATAGTTATCGTTGACGCATTAACAATAGCGGTAATTTTTTTTTTTTTTTTAAACTAATATTTCTTAGAAAACTTCATAATTTTGTTCACTTAATTAAATAAGCTAATTTAAAACTGAAAAGTGTAATACCTTAGTAACACGATTCCAACTATTTCCAATCTTTATTCTTTGACTTTTAGATAACCATTCTTTATGTTTTGTTGCTGTTTGTTCGTTTGTAATCGGCTGATTATTCATTGATAAGTATTCAATATTTTGGGCTAATTTTTTCACTGCGGTACCAAATGTTGTCGAATTATCATTGTTGTTGATTAGTGGAAGCTCCGATGAATCATTTTATTGTTTGTCATCATTCATTTCGCTTCGTAATATTTTTTATGAAATTTTTTTAAATCAATGCAAATTTTAGCAAATCAATGATCATATTACAATATCCAGAAGTTGGATGAGAAAAAAAATGTTGAGAAATATAAAATTGCAGAATTGATGATAGTTTTTATCTGTTGAAATAAAATTAGCTGAAATTGAAAATTACAGGAAGTTAAATGGAACACAGACTATATCCACCTGCTCATAATAATAATTAGGCTTTACTTACGATGAAATAGATTAACTAGGAAAAAGCACCATGATGTAATAAGATTAGAAAACTACAATTCACCGTTGTAATAATAAAATGAGATAAATCGATGATTTATACAACTTGAAAATCTTTCAAATTTCATCAGTTTCAATTTCTACAAAGATAATGCATAATTATTACTTTGTTCCGCAGAGTCATCGTCCATCATTTTACGACAATCCATTAAATTACAAAGTTAAACTTCCTCCTCTTCAAAAGAAAAAAAAAATTAAAGAAACGAAAGTGAAAAAAAGGAAGCAAGCTTGTCAACGAAAAAATGATTGATATGATGATAAATAATATTGATATCTTATTCTGAATAATTTTCTTTTTCATAACAAAATTTTATTAAATAAATCCTGAATTGAAAATACATCATTATTGGGCCAATATCTTTCTCGCATTTTTGTCTCATTTTAACTATGATGATCAAGAGTGATTCACATTGATCATCATAGTTAAAACAATTCAATTAACATTCATTCGCCCTTTACCGCCTTTAAAATGAGCAAAAATAACAGTTGAAGCATAGGCTCATTTTATCACCAACGATAAATATATCATCGTTTTGAATTTACAGTACTTTATCATGAAGTTTTTTCCATTTCTTTTAAAATAGAACAAACGAATTTAATCAAATTTAAAAGTATGTTTGCTTTGCATTTGCATCATATCGTTAAATTCGAAAATCTAACGAATTAAAAAATTCTTTTTATAAAATCTTTTTCTCATTAATTTTTAGCGAACCACAAAATGAATGGAAAATATATGAACAATTGAATTTTATAATGAAAGAAAAGAATTTTGAGTGGAAAAATGCATTATTATGCGAAAATATTATAGGTTTTACATAAAAGAAGGAATGATTAAATTCTTATAAGTAATGTATTCAATAATTAAATGAGCACGAATATGTAAAAATTGCTTTACTTAAATCATTGAAAGTAACAAAAGCTCATAAAATTGGAAAAAGAAAGGAAAAAAAAAAATAGAGAGATGAAGAGATATTGCAAAGCGATAAATAAATCATATGCCTATCACAAAATAAATTATAAAATTTACTTCATCTATCAACATTGATGATTCAAATCAAGCTTGTTTAAATGTTATAAATTAGAAATTTGATTGAAAAATGAATAAAATTTCATATATTTCTTATTAGAACCTGTAGTATTTTTTTTTTTTTTTTTGTAAAACGATGCGAATTGTACTCAAAATAAAAGAGGATCTATGCGTCATTAATGAGCAACTTTTATAAAATTGAAATCAATTTCATTTTCTTTCGTTCAATTTACCTCTTCAAATTGATTCTATATGGTGACAATAAAAGCTTATATAGAAGTACAGAAATTCTCTCAGGAAATGTATGAAAAAAAATTTTCAATGATCATTAGCCTGATAAATAGAAAGATTCATTAAAGTAAAAGTACATGGAATTGATCAAAAAATGATTGATATGTTACTAAAATGATTGAGTAATTTTTACTGAATATTGCTCATTCAATAAGTATATGATGGCAGACTTTTTTTTTTGATATTTGAGAATTTTAACAAGAAATTCATCAATTTTATTAAAAAATTTTATATCGTCGAGGAAAAAAGTGCTTATCTTAATCTCTTCACATTATCTCGATGACACAATTACGGTAATTCAATGCTAGCATTATTCTCATGACCATGATATTCGTATTAATTTTATTTAACTGAAAATTATCACCCTGTTTTGCTAAAAAGTTTCAGAAAATGTACTAATTGGAAAATTTTGTTTTACATTTTGAATTTTTCCTACCCACTGCTTTAGTAAAAATAATTACTCAAATTTAATAAATTTTAAATGCATCTTCACATTTAATATGATCTGATAGCTGGAATCATTTCTATGAATGTTTTATGGTTTGTCAATTATTCGTTTTTAACTTAAGAATAAATAAGCGATACTTAGAAATGAGCCTAAAAAAGAATTTTAAAAAAAAAATTTTTTTAAGGGAACAACAATGAACTAAAATATGATGGTTTAGA